ATATTTTACAACAGCACCAAAAAAAAAAAAAAAAAAAAGAAATCCTTAGGAATCAATTGCACAAAGAAAGAAAAAGATACATAGTGAAAATTCTTGCACTTGGAGAAAAGACTATGAAGAGGATTTAAGAAAATGGAAAAATAAGGGCCAGAGAGATAGCTCAGTGGACCAAGGGCTTGGTTAGGCAAGCACCGGGAATGGGGTTCAATGTGTCAGTATTCCATGCCACAATGGCTGGTGCCAAGTGCACAGAGCTAGTGACTGAATCTGGGCGTGGTGGCACATGCCTGTAATCCCAGCGCTGAGGAGGATGAAAACAGGAGGATCACTATGAGTCTGAGCTGCACAGTGAGACCAAATACATTAAAAAAAAAAAAAAAAAAAAGAGAGAGAGAAAAAAAAGGAAAAATATTCCATGCTTCTGGATAAGAACCAACATTATAAAACTGGCCATACTCCCAAAAGAGTCATATAGACTCAATGCAACTATTAAAATTCCATTAGTATACCTCACAGAGCTAGAGAAAAATTTTGTGAAACTCATGTGGAACTAGAAGAGACCCAGAATATCAAAAACAATCCTGGGAAACAAAGGAAAAGCAGGAGGTTTCACAATCCTTGATCTGAAATAGTACTATAAAGCTACTGTGATAAAATCAACATGATATTGGGAAAACAAAGATCCAGACCTGAGGATCAATGGAAGAGATTAGAAAACTCACACACAACTATACACACACTTTACTTTTGATTAAAGGGGCCAAACATGTTCAATGGAGGAAAGATAATAAATCATGCTGGAAAAATTGGCTTTCCACATGCTGAAAGCTTAAAATAGACCCATGCCTACCCTTAAGCTCAAAGCTATAGTCAAAATGGATCCAAGATTTAAATATAAAAACAGAATCACTAAATCTTCTGGAAGAATATGTAGGTAGAAATCTTAAAGACATAGGACTAGGTAAAGAGTTCATGAACAAAAACCAAACTGTAGGGGAAATACTTAAAGAATCAACCACTGGGATTTCACCTTTTTGGAAAGTTTCCCCACTTCAAAGAAAATCTAGAACAGAGTAAAAAGAAAACCTACAAACTGGGAAAAAAGCATAGCCAGTATCCCACCAACAAAGGCCTTCTATCTAGAATACATAAAGAATTAAAAAAAAAAAAATCAGGACTTCAAAATTCAAACACTTGACTCAGAAATGGGCATTTGAGATGAATATACACTTCTCAGAGGAAGAAATACAAATAGCAAGTAAATATATGAAAAAATGTTCCACATCATTGGTCATTTGAGAAATACACATTAAAACAACACTGAGATTCCATCTCACCCCAGAAAGAATGGCTAACATCAAGAAGTCAGCCAATAGTAAATGCTAGAGAGGCCTGGGGAAAAAGGAGCTCTTCTGCACTGTTGGTAGGAGTGCCGAGTAATACAACTCTCATGGACATCAGTGTGGAAATTCCTTCAAAATCTAGGACTGGAGATCCCATTTAAGTCAGCATTCCTCCCCTGGATATTTTTCCAGAGGAACTGAAAACATCATATACCATAGTGATATATGTGCATTCATGTTTATAGCAGTGCAATTTGGCATAGCTAAATCTTGGAAACAACCCAGGGGCCATCAACTGAGAAATGCATAAAGAAGACATGGTACTTTTACACAAAGGAGTATTATTCAGTTAAAAAACAGGATAAATTTGAGGCATTTGTCTGTAAATGGGTGCAACTGGAGACCATACTCTTAAGTGAAATAAAGCAGACCCACAAGTGCAAACACTGGATTGTCTCCTTAGTGAGAGAACCTGAAAGAAAAAATGGAACATAAAGGATACACTAGATATGGGATAATGGAATGAATTCATTCAAAACGAAATAGGTACAAATTGAGGAGAGGGACAGGAGAGGCAGTGGGGGAAAGAGATATATCTGTGTGTGTAGGCAGTATGGTTTGGACAAGTGTACTGTGGATTTCTGCTGGTCAGTGAAAAGGAGCAAGTAATGCTTAATTTGTTTCATCATCTTTTCCCTTGTTTCTCCTTTTCCTGTTCTTAATTTGTTATAATTTTTTCTTGTCTTTCTAATTTGCATGCATATATCTGGTAATATGAATAACTAGTTGGAAGACAACACTATGCATTACAACAAATACGGTGAAATTCATATTATTTTTTAAGTGAAATTTTGTACACTTGTAATTTTTGTGTTTTAATACTATTTTGTACTCTGTTTAAAAAAATAATGAAAAAATTTCCTATGAGGAATGTGACCAACATACACATCTAAATTGTATAAACAATTTTTTAAAAAAGATAAAAATTAAGAAGTACAGAAATAGCTCTTTTACAGATAGGAAGAAGTTGAATAGGGCTAGAAGAGAGATGTATTACCTACACATAGCAATTCTCCCCAAGGAATATAATCAGTATGTAATACAAACATGGACTATTAAATAATTAGAACTCAAGGAAAAAAATTTAATTTTATTGAAAATGAATATATTATACAGACTAGCACCATCGTCAAATGCTGGTTCTTTTTAGAAAGACTAGTAAAATGCAGAGTTGTGGAAATTTGATAATAAAGAATTATATGTTGATATATAATTGTAAAAATGTCTATATATACACTCATGGCTCACAATCATGGCGACACATCTGGGAGAGGCAATATTAGGTGATTCCTTTATTGTGCAAATATCAGTGTATTTACACAAAGCTAGAATGCACAGCTTACTGCACACTCATGTTATGTTATAGCCACTGTTGTGTTAAAACACCCAACATTGACCGAAACTTCACTATCCAGCATATGACTGTATATTGTAAATCACTGTTGATCTGGTGAAGAGATAAACATACCAGTTAAGATAAAAACTGTAACACATAAAAGGACCCTTTCCTTAGACACACATATATGAACGTTTTAAAACTGTGTAGGAGAAGAAAAAAAAAAGAAACCTTTTGTAATCAAAGCTGCCAGGAAAACAAAGCATCTATGTGGTAAAAATCCTATTACACTTTTTCCTCATATAATATAACAAATCATTTTCAGAAGTACAAAACAGGTAAGTAAAAGTAAACTGCCAGGCCTTGTGGCAAAACCTGTAATTGCAGCATTTGGGAGGCTGAGGCAGAAGGATCGCTGTGAGTTCCAGCAGGCCAGCCTGAGATATACAAATGAGCTCACAGCAAGCCTGTACTGCATAGTGACACCTTGTATTGACCCCTCCCCAAACAAAAACAAAAAAAGCAAATTCACTGTAGATCTTTAAAGTTGCTTTAGTAAAGGAAATTATGTCTCTCAAAATCACATAAAACAATTAAAAAATAAAATATTCATAAATTGGACCTTAAGCCATGTGTGACAGAACCAGCACTTTGGGAGACTGAGGCTGGAGTACCCAAAATTCAGATTTAGCCAGTCATTTGGCAGTGTACCAAGACCCTCTCTCAAAAATAAGGTACCTCAGTGTAAAGGCCCAGAGTTCAATCTCCAATACCACAAAAGGCCATTAAAGTAAAAATTTACCCATGAATATAATCCATTATAAAGTGCAAAGTGAGTGGGAGAAATTATTTTCCTCATATCTAATTAAACATACTAAATAAAACTGGAAGGCACAGGAGAAAGAGATCAAATGTACAATAATTCATCAAAAGCTTAACAATCCTTAGACGTGAAGCAAAATCACATCAGATTAACAGACAGTACTGAAAATGCCATGGGAGGATGAAACGCTCCTGCACTGAAGGTGGAGAGTGAGCTGTAACTACCCACTTGGAGGAACAGCCCAGCTGGTATTTGCACAGCAGACACCAACGTATACAAATTAATGCACAGGAGCACCATGAAAACATGAACACAGCAGTATTGGTGCTAACACGGGGTGAACACAAGAGAAGACACGTTCAGGATGAAAGACATCAAGAAGTGTACGGCACTTTCTATGGTCCAGCCACACTGTCGCTCTTATTATATGCCTGGCTTAACAAGTAGTAGCAAACACCATGTGAAGTTTATATAACATCACATGTACTTGGTATTTCACATACATGCATGTATTAAACAGGAAATACATAGAATTTGCTAAAAATTTACAAAGGCATGTAAAAAACCCGATTACATACATACTGTGCAGGTAATAAAACTCACTACAAATGTCATCATTTCTCCAAATTAATCTATACCATTTCATGAAACCTTCAATGTGCTTAACTTCCACTGGAAGAGACCAAACCTAAAAATCTCAAACCTATCTGGAAGATTCAAATACATGTATATATGCAATGAGCCAACAAACTCCTGGATTATACGAGCAATAGAGGTAGCTATCTTTAGCTCACTAACTTTCATTCTGAATCCAGGCTTTGGGGCTGAGGACACAGCTCAGTGGTACAGTATGAGACCCAAAGACGCAGGGCTGTGAGTTGCATCCTCAACACCAAAATAAAGGTAGAGGAGATGGGCGACCAGACAGCTCAGAGGAAATCGAGGACGGCTGGGGGACAAGGAGAGGCTTGGGCATCTGTGTTCAACAGCTCCTCTGACACCGGAACCACACACAACTGGGATCCTCCTGCTCATCCTCCACGCTGTCACCCCACAAACTGTGCCGAAGTGGGGCTGCAGGCCAGTGCTGCTCAGAGCGGGACCGGGTGCGGTCTGGAGTCGCTGCGCAGAGACGCGACAGGCGCAGGCTGCAGGCCCCACCCGGAAGTCACTGGGCCCGGCAGCCCAGAGGTCCACAAAGGGCTTCTTTGGGGACAGAGACACCCGTTAGGGCCGGGACCTGCCGGGACAGGTCTCCCAGCGTCCCAGCTGGCAGCCTAGCTGCCGCCGCACCACCACAAGGGCCGGGGCCACTGCCCCGCGGAAGTCCCAGGCTGCGGACTTCGGAGCTACACAGAGGGCCGGTCGCGCCACAGCCAGTCCCCAAAGGGGTCACAGAGACTCCCTCCCAGCCTGGGGCACCGGGCCACACACTTACCATGCCTGGTTTCCAGGATATGTAGCGTTTTCCTTGTGGATCTACCACCAGCCAGTCCCAAAGAAGAAAAAGTTTCAAGCCTGCTGCACAACCCCAAGAGGCTCCAAAGCGGAAGTTTGCGGACGGAACAGAGTCAGAAGTCCCGCAGACTGAGGCCAAAAGCTAGTGAAAGCCCGCCCTTTCCTCTCTGGCCCCAAATCGGATTATACATTCTCATCCTCTGATTGGACAGGGATTCAGCCCCACCCCAGATCTTGAATGACAGCAAATTACACCAACCCCAGACTGAATAAGGACAGAATGACAGATTCTTGATTTCATCAAGTCTAACTCCTGTGGTGGGGCTATCGTTAAAGTGGAAATTCCTTCTTGTGGGAGTACCTGCCGCTTTGGGGATATCTGCCTTTAAGCTTTTTATCAGGTCATATCAGAGTATACTTGTAATCCCCAAAGCATACTCTTTTGGGATACCGACCCACGAGAATCAAAATTTGGGCACAGCCTGAGTCACCATAGCCTGCAGTGACTTAGCAGGAACTTGTCTTTAAAACAACAATGAAAAGCGGGAGCCGGGGTGGGGGTGGGGG